TAATACGAAGATGTCAAGCGTACATAGAAATGGAAGGAGAGAAAGCACGTAGAAAACTTCGTGTAATCAGAAAAAGAAGAAATTGCAAGGTGAACTATCACTTGCACGCAGTATGATAGCTCTCGATTCTTCAACAAGAAATCGTTCTTTCTTTTTTTTTTTTTTTCGTGAACCCACATTCTAGAAAGATGTGGAAAAGCATTTCATCAACGCGGCACTAAACTCGTAGGACGAAGAATGGAAGGATACAAGCGAACGTACGATTATCCGTGCGAGCGCAATCGGAGGCGAGATTATACTGAAATCCATGCACGGGATTCTGCACGTCGGACACGAACGATCCAGGCGTGATTCCGCGGATTGCAAACGACTCTGCCCACTCGCCGTGGGCTGCGCCGTGAAACACGCGATCGTCACGGACCCGACGATGGTGAACTTGTGGCGCAAAGAGCACCCGAAGCTCTAGCCGGGAACGCGAGCAAACTTTGTTCGTCGTTCTGTGCACGCACGTTCAGAGTGTTTGGAAAAATTCAATGGAACCTGAATGTTTCTGCATGGCACGTCGGGATTGGACGAGACGTGATTGACTTGTTTCAAGTTGCTCGTGCGTTTGAATCGATGCTTCATCCGAGTATTTGTGACAACGAGAGAAAAATGACATGTCGAGCATTTTCTAAAATGATATATATATATATATACGTCAAGATATTTTTATATTATTTTTCACTCGTGCTCCCTGAAATGAATTTCTCCTTCGTGTTTAAATATCATCATCAATATAAAAATTACGTCAAATTGATGATACGTGTAGATTAAAGAACATTTTAAATTAATAAATGAATTTTCTCACAGAGAGAGAGAGAGAGAGGGGGGGGGGAAAGTTTACTCTCAGCGAAACGTTGATCGATGTAATTAATTCGTCGCTGGAAGAATCGCCGCCAAGTCACAGTGATAAATAGGCAGCGGTCTGGCATTTCGCGAAATAATTGACGTATTTTCCTCTAGTATCTAGTGTTCCACGAGTATCGTGATAAATCACCTGAACGAGGTAATCTTCGTTGTTGCTAGCCTGCAACAAAGCTGTTGGTTTCATTGCCAAGGGAGTGACCTTGCCGCGATCATTTTTCAGCCACGCTTTCAACGTCAGCCACTCGTGTCCGATGCGAAGAATGGAGAATGAGAAATTTATGAGAAAGTTTCGTTAATTCGCAGAGGGGAAGGCACAGTAAATTTCTCGAATCGTTTCTTATCTAGTTAAACCTGTTGACAGACTTTGAAACTCATTTCCAGCGTTTCGCTCCTTTTTTTCAACTGGCCGCCCTTCCTAATGCTGCTGTAATCATTCACTTCAAAATTTTCAAATCGTTATCTCGCGTTATTTCTTTCATTATCACGTCGTCCGTTATTTTGACGTCATTTTGAAAATTAAATCCAAATGATGATCTCGATCAGAGTCGATCAATTTTTTGTAAAGCTGAATGAATCAAGGCGTGTCTGTCACTTTCATTTTCGAACCTGGCTCACGGAACGCTGAAGACAGTGGATTCGCTTCTCATCGAAGACTTTGGAAAGTATGACAATCTCACGGTCGAATCTAGAGTAAAAATGAACTGTCTGTTTACGCCCTGAGGGCTTCAGAAGACTCATGACACCACGACGTAGACACGATAGCAGGTCCAAAGCTCGAAGATACAGAAATCTTAAACAACCTCGAAGTCTGTCTGTTGGTACATGTTCCGCGACACGGTGCTCGTCAGTTTGCTTCACCTGAAAACTATCGAAAGCGACATTCTAAAGCTGGTAATGTCGTTTCATTATTTTACGTGTTACTGTTGATCGTATTGAGGAAATTATCGAGCATGAGTTTGATCGAGGAACACGCGTCTGGGCGTTCTCGTTGTCTCGAAACGTCGCATTACCAAGAAATGTCGGTCTACGTCTGGTGCTGTTCTTGCGGATGATCTTCTTTATTTCTTCTCCCCTTATTTGAGCGTCGCTTGTAACAGCACGTTCACCAGTTCTCTGGCTCGAGAGCATTCGCTACAGAATCTCAAGCAAGTACGTGACTCTGGTCACAACCACTCCGGTCGTGTAGACCGGACATTGTACGCTTTTATTTCAACAACTCCGACCCTCGGTTCATCAGGGATTTGTATGAGAGGTAATCTTACTCTTGCTACCGTATATTCTCGATTCCCTCTTTCTTCTTACTGTACCTCGTTTCAGTCAATTTTCGTGGAAGCTTGTTCGCGGTTCGAGGGACGTTCCAACTGGGTTCCACTTCTGTTGCATGCTCATTCTATAGCCAAGAGTGAAAATCGAAGCGATGGACACTATTCATACACGGTTCCTCGAGCTATCTTATCGTCGCGTAAAAGCTTTTGGAGATTTTTATCGGGGCGATAGACTTCTATTTGGCTGCTAAAATACATAAAAAAATAAATAAGTGAAATAAAATCGCTCGAAAGTACTAATTCACTCGATAAAATTCAGAGCTGGCTAACTGGCGGCTCTACTTTGCTGATCGCTAATATTTCCCCCTCCACTGCTTAGTAGGCGAGGAATGTAGTGGAGGGGGTAGCATTAGCAATCAGGAAAGTAGGGGCAAGGGCCCGCCACTGCTTAGTAAGCGAGGAATGTAGTGGAGGGGATAGCATTAGCAATCAGGAAAGTAGGGGCAAGGGCCCGCCAGTTAGCCAGCTTTGAATTTTACCGAGTGAATTAGTACTTTCGAGCGACTTTATTTCACTTATTTATTTTTTTATGTATTTTAGCAGCCAACTAGGAGTAGGATTTAGATGCAAAATTAATTTTCCTTTTTCAACTTCTGGGACACTTGTCATCCGTTTTGACAATGAAATAAGAAAAAGTTGAATTCGTTGGAATGTGCAACGAACTGGGAGATTTAAACTGCCAAGTCAATTTGACCAACACTTCTTTTCTCGCAAAGACACGAGAAATATTTTCGTACCAGGTACAACAAAGTCCTCGAACCTGAAGAAGCACTCGATAATATGTATATTCAGGAAGAGGAATGGTCTCGCCGATCTGCAACGTTTCACCGTGGATAGAATGAAATGGGGCGTACAAAGATAATAGAAGCTTCCGGATGTACACGTTGTCGAAACGAGTTTTCAGATTGCCGATTTTCTTCGACGATTCATTACGAAGTATCGGGAAACAGAGGTGGCAAAGAACCTACATAATGCAATAACGATCGACGAAGATAAGATAGATCGCGTTTAATCAGCATTCGGATGAAATTTTGATTCTGAAACAATCTTCGTCCTGTCTTCGAAATATTTTTCATGTGTTTTCATGTTGGTTGTACGATGGTCTTCGTCGAATTGCTGGTGTCTCGTATTTTGAGAAATTCGTCATAGTATTTACGATTCCGAGCGTATTCGCCGATACATTGTATGAAATAAAATGTTTTCAAATTGTTGTTAACTGATTTTCCCATCGACGATTCTTTCGTGAGGACATTGAGCGTCAAAAAGATATTTTCCAATGATGCGCACTTTCACAAGCACGATAGGCACATTTGGACAGGATTGATAATCTCTCTAAGGAAATAACTGCACTTGAACGGTACACTAAGGAAAACTTTGATACTTTCAATATTAGAATCGAAATTGAACACGCGGTGATATAAGCGAACGTGATAAACCGTTTTATGATAAAGAAACAAGGCGAATCCGGCTTGCACGGAGAGTACAAATACGTCTGTTTACGCTGAGATTCGATAAATTCGTGTTTTACAGTCCTTCTCGGGAATGCTTGGTTTCCTGTTATTGCATCCATTCGCATTCCATCAAGCGTGACGTAAAACGCGACGCTGTATTTCGAAGGATTTCACGAGGAATTCCATAGGCTCTCGCACAGGAAGCCGCCCTTGAAGCGTGTTTTTCAGTCACGTTTCTACGGAACAATAATTCATCGACTTTACGCAATCCCGTGTTACTACGAAATGCATCTGATTGGATTTTACATTCATGCTCGGCGGTGATGCAAGGTTGCGCGACGAATTTGTCGAACCAGAAAAGGAAAACATTGTCTTCCGCTGTGTTGACCGCAGAAAAGATCTCTCGCCAATAAGTTCAACTTTTTAAATTGCACGGTTTCGCGATCAATGTCCATTCGTGCGAAACTCAACGGGAGAAGAAGTTTTTAATATACCTAGGGTTGGAAATTTTAGAAGATAGAAATCGCTTAGTAGACATTAAATCGTTTAATAGAGAGCAGACGGAAGTTGAAGTATATTTTTGGAGTATGTTGAAATTTTTTAAAACTGAAGGAAAACAAAATGAATTTCTTTTTGTACATTGATATATATGATATAATATGTTATATAATATATTACATAGTTAAAATACAAATAAAAATCAATAGAGGACTCTTTTATTTGAAAGAAAAGCAAGACGAACGTTTTGTCGACGGGAATCTTAGGAGCCACATTGATTCATCGTTAATGTTAATTCTTTGAATACATAGCGAGGTATAAAGTCTCTTCTTAAGGAGGAAGAAACCTATACTCTGCTTCCCCCCGTTTTATCCTCCATTCCTTCAGGCTGGGCATCTCTCTTAAATCAGAAGTGAACCATCATGGAAAACACGATTCATTACGCGTACGAACTATCTCGACATATTTCTCTCTTTATGAAAGTAAACTCTTTAAAGCTGATATGTGTGTTTACAGGGAATACAATTCTTCGTTGCTTGCGTGCCAGGGATGGGGGACTCTTCGAATCTCCCATAATCCTAAGATTTACTTGCCCATCAAATCATCCGTCACTCTTCTAAGCCTCGTTGATCCCCATCTAAGCTACCCACTGGTCGCCAAATCGCTCCATTATCAGCTAACTACAGTTCATTCCGTTTCTCCGAAGATATTTATCTTCTTATCGAATTCCACTCCCGTGTCTGCCCGAATCCTGTTTTCATATATCTCTATCGATCGTGTAGCAGGGGAGAGCTATGAATTCAAGGAAGAATCTCAGCGCCCAAGGCGAGGCGAAGAATTATTTTCATTCTATTATAACGGGACCTTGAGCTTGGTCGACGCACGTCTCGAAGGCTGGCCGGGGAGCAGAGAAATTCAATTAATCAACAAAGTCAACACGGTTCGCAGGATCAACGGGGCGATTAGCGTGGCTGCCGCGAGAGGAACGCGAGCGTTAACGAGGACGCGTGTTCCCTATCGCGGCGATCTTTCCCTCGACGCCCCGATGTCGTTCACGCGATGTTGATTCCTAGGAAAACACCGGCCTTTCTTCGACGTAATTATCGCTACGTTTACCACGCGCGAACACGAGACGAGCATTACGAGCCCTCACAATTTTTCCTTTTTCTTTTTCTCTCTCTCTCTCTTCTCGAGTGTTAGGACACACGCTCTCGTTTAGAAACGTTCATTATATTAGAAATCTCATCTTGCAACGTTGAATTCACAATTACAGTTTCAATACCATTAATCACGCTCTAATGCAATGTTAATAGACAGGATGGTACGTCGTAACGACGTTTGTTTCTTCCATTTCGAAAGGCAGCAGAATTGACAGAAGGTGGAGGACTGATCCGGTTGTAAAAACAAGGCCAAGAACGGACATATGATCGGACATATCTATTTTTTTCTTCCTTTCGCGTTTTCGCACGGAACCTTGTCGCAGGAATGAAAGAACCTGCTGGATGGACCGTGGGGGGAGCACGTCACGGCACGATCGATTGTTATTCTTCTTGATGAATCGTGCGGGGGTGGATTGAATAATCCTGGTAAACAAGCTTCTTCCAATAATTTCGCAGTTCGAAGTCGATCGAACGTGATGCCGGAATCTCGCTAACGAGCAACGGCTCGAGAGTTCAAACGGGAATTCCGAAACTTTGGAACTTCGTTGTTCACGATTAGGTGTACCTCTCTCTCGCGTACGCGTTCTCGTGACGATGAATCTGAGCCTCTGAGAGGCCTGCTTTCTAAAATTCACACTATCGTCACATACGTCGTAGTGAATAGTAGAACCGTGAGAACTGACGGATCGGATAGTTTTTCACGAGTACGCGATACAGATGAGTACGTGACTGATTAGAAAATATCCGGGGGGATATCGAGGGATTATAGAGCCATCTACGTATAATAGGATGAATCGAAGAGCAAAGTCTAACCTCGTAACAGAGAAGCTGACGTTGCGTTTGGATAATAAATCCCCCTAACGGAAGCTGCATTATAAAGATTAGTTTTAAATTGGAGTCCGGAAATGGATGACCTTCGGCTGACGTTTAAAGATTATTAGCCGCCGAACACGAGAGTGGCTGATACTCCAATTAACGTTAAGACGATATTAACAAAGTAACGAAATCGTGTTCCCGTGTTTATTCTCGTCGCGGGGAGAAGGCGGGGGAAAATGGAAATTTCTTTCGTTAATTATTACCGCGTTTAACGGGACGAATATTTTATTCAATTACGCGGATGATGATGTCTTATCCGGCAAGGATACCGCTTCGTTTAATCTCGATCCTCCAGTAATGGATCCTTGGAAGTCTGCGCACGTTGCTATGAATCAGCCAACGATAATTTAGAATTCAGCGTAAACACGGGACTGGGCTATATTTGCTGTTTATTATTAGTCAGTTATTTATTATCGATCCGTTCTAAGGTGCTTTTGGATCGTGCACTCGTAAATAACGGACTGGCCAGGCCTCGTTATTTATCGCTTCGTCAAACATTCATCGGACGAGGAACACAGACAGATCAATTATTCGCTCGCGAAAATATTAGATTGTTTAGAAAATTTATGTTCACGTAACTCAATGAATATTTCGTTTTCTCTCTGTTTCGCCGTATAATTTTACGTGAACTTCTCTCTCGAAAATTTCTCGTTTAGAATGAATGAATTCCCTCCAACGACCTTCCGAGTGTAATATTTTTTGTTATGTACAGGTCGCGACGAATAATAATAATAACGAGACTATACGAAATTCAGAAATGTCTTGCAAACCACAGTTTGGAAGTTTAATATCACATCATCTCACTATAGAATTACAAAACGATAATAAAACGGGAGGGTTTTATTCTGACGAGGAGACCAGGAATTTTGGAGCATTGGCAGACATTCGTGAGAGTCGCGTATAACGTAAGCTGCAACACTGAATTTATAACAATCAATAGAAAGCTCTTTGAAAAATACTTACAATAAAAATGGGGGCATATTCTATTAACGAAACGAATCGTTTTCATGGAAGTTAATTGTTATACTTTGATTTAAACTGTTAACTACTTTATTATCAAACTTTGCGCGTTTCGCCTTAATTCTCTTTGGCATCTATTCGAATTTTTTTTCGTTATTTGATGGAAATTAGGCGAAACAATTGAAAGAGATTGTAATAAGAATTTATCTGTCGCCTAGCGTGTTGCTCGTGTTGCTCGTGCGTGATACCGCGGTATCTAAAAAATGATTTGGTCTGATAACATTAGTCGCGACATTCATTGACTTCGTAAGCTAATTTGGAATTCAAGCAGCATCCTTTTTCTTTTCTTAACCATATTTTACAATTGCTTTGTAAATCCACAGTTTCTTCAGATCGATAACCCTGGCCGTTTAGCAACGGTGTATTTTTCACATGCATTATTCATCGATGTGTTCACTTTCTGCTTTAAATTTTAAATTTATACAAATCTTGACAGTGGCGGCAAGGAGTATCCAATAAAAGGTTTCATCGACGAAATTTATTCACATAAAAATTTACCTTGCCTCTCTAAATATTCACCGAGCAAGTGTCAGCTATATATATTTACCGTACGCCGTGGAATTAAAGGAATTTTCCTTCATTTCGTTCCTGTTTGTCCGCGCTATCTTTCAACATCGCGCAGTGAAAACGGAATTCCAGAAATTGATTCAGTATTGCTTTCTTCTCTCTCGTATAAATTTTACAAGCTCCGAACGATTCATTCTGCAAATGATAAAAATCTGTTTTCTCTTTATTTCTATAAAAAAAAAGAAAAAAAAAACACGTATCGATGAAACGATATGTAAATTACACGATTTACATCTTTCCGCAATACTGGATTGGATTTTAATATAATAGCTTGCTGACCCGTAGCGTATTTTCAAAGAGACGGTGTATACGTATAAACCTACGGATGATTGTAATAATAAAAGTGAATAGGAATTAATGATGAATAAATGTAAATTACAAACAATAGCGAAATAGTTACAAGCAGAGAATCCAGAATCCCACAAGACAAGCCCAGTCTCGAATCAGCGTCTTTCTTTTCTAATTAAATATTTCTCCTGAAAAAGTTTCGCCAATGAGTTAGAGAGGTTTCTGATAATTTCTGGCAGGCAGAAAAAAAAAAACGCGGAGAAACGAGCAGGTTATAACGTCGATACT